GTTTATTTTCTTAATGAGTTATAGGTGTGTTTTGAGAATAAACCAATTAAAGCCTCATCTCCTATTACCTTTAAGAGCCAGCTGCGTCACGCCATAAGCGCATTTTGACGTAAAGTAAGTTCACTTTCGCTTTTGCTCTCGTGGATAGGGAAACCTTTACGCACAGACATCAATTAGTCTATAAATAATTAATTTCGTTTGTTAAGCGCAAAGATTTGCTTCAAAACTATTTCTAAATTTAGTTCTAATTTCTAGCAAACGAATAAATGAACAATAATAACAAAGTGTGCTCAAAATACTAAATAGTTATTTCCAAATACACCTGCCATGCCCCATATGGTCTAAAATTTGACAGGTGGACAAATCTAAGCTTGTTTTTAATAAAACAAATATCAATATGGATATAATAAATAATACTGCTAATGATAATAACATTATACAAAAGCAAATTAAATGAACTGAACAAGCCTCCCGAGATGAAGAAAGTATGACGGCAGTGGTTTTTAAATCTTCATTTAGAAATTAATATGTTTTGTAATATTTTAATCATTTATATTTATAACCTGTATATATCCTTATTTTATATATATATATATATATATATATATATATATATATATATATATATCCTTAAGATATTATATATTTTTCATATGTAAAGGTATTTGCGTATTGCTCTGCATCTTGTTTGTAGTGTGTAAGCCAGGGGCACTTTGTGCCAGACAATAGACCTACTTTGTTCTGGTCTAAAGAACAGACTACATACAGTTTCTCAAAATAGCAACGCGCCAAAACACGCCTGCTTTTTTAGACCAGAATGCCTATGGGCGCACATTTGAGCGCAAATGCATTTGCTATTTAAACAGCGCGGCGCAACACCTCAAAATGACCCTTGCGCCGAGCTAAAAGTAGCAAAAGAGTATTGCGCCGCGCCCTGCGCCACATTGCGCCGGGTGTATAATAGGGCCCTTAGAGTTTGTAAAACACACAAGGAAGTCTAACAATCCATTCAAATGCCGATGTGTTTTATTCATATCCGATACACATAGTTAAAGTAACTATAAAGTTGAATCTACTCTCCTTCAAGTTCACCAGGCATTTACTTGCATGTATTTAGGGAGTAATTAAAACAGAAAAAACTCAATTAAAGGGATCTGTCATACAGCGCTATTGTGGCTGCGGTGTGTCACGTGATAAACATGACGCGTCGACACAGAAACATTAAGGGTGAATGATCGCCTAAAGAATGACTCCAGGATATTTTAAACCCCCTAGCAAAAGGGTTAATAACAGAAGTAAAGCAGCGGTGGTGAAGTTACTTTGCACTTTGAAAGATTAAAGTTTTTCTTCGCCTTTTTTGATCATCATTTTATCGGTTGTCATGTATAACTTCACTGCAAAAAAGATTTTCTTTCTTTCTTTCTCTTTCTTTCTTTCTTTCTTTCTTTCTTTCTATCTTTCTTTCTTTCTTTCTTTCTATCTTTCTTTCTCTTTCTTTCTTTCTTTCTTTCTTTGTCTCATTTCCAGTCCAAATATATAAAAAATCTTAAATCAAGAACAGAAAATAAAAATGGCATGAGAAAATTAAGTGATGCTTAACTTCTGTTTAAGATTTTATCTTATTAACATTGTTTTTCTTACCCCATTAGCAAATAGTTTTGCTTGTTTTAAGCAAATAATTAGTTATTTTGAGGTGTTTCTTTCAGAAAACAAGACATTATTTCTTATGCTACTTCATATGTCTAGTGTGTTTCTTGATTTAAATTTTTTTTTAGATATTTTGATTGAAAACAGGACAAAAATACTTAGTTTTTTTTTTTCATTTAATTGTATTATTATTATAACAGCTAAGGGATAAGCTTTTTTAAATAAAGGGATGGAAATGACTGCTTTTCTTGTTAAGTTTCTTTTAACCGATTAATCAAAGTAATAATCTACAGAATAATCCATTTTTAAAATGATCGTTAGTTGCAGACTCTGATTCTGATTCTGACTCTGATTGGCTGTTGTCATTGTCCCGCCATTAGTGTTTATTTTCAGCTCTGGGATCAGTTTTGAGCTGCTTCAGCCAATAGCAGTACAGCAACCACTGGGGAAGTGGGGCTAAAAATACCAAGACCCATCTGATTGGTCAAATTTAGATAAAAGCCAATGCATAAAAATCACACATGTCTGCAATACATATGTTACATATATTATTATCATAATATTGATAGTTACAATGCATTGTGCAGCCCTAACATTGTGTATTATTTCTACACCAGATTTCCCCAGTGCTGCGATCACTGACAAGCCAGTTCTCCACAATGTACACACACCAGGAGACCACCAGCATCCTCATGAAACAGAGCGGTCCCACGTCCCACAACAGACCCCAGCTGTGCCCCAGCAGCACCTCCACTGGGAAATATAGACATCTGCAGGTCAAACGGCTGCCTGTTTCCAGCATCTTCACACACACACACACACACACACACACACACACACACACACACACACACACACACACACACACACACACACACACACAAACACAGTACATGAGATTACATGTGCATTAAGAGGAGTGGCTGGGAGAACAGCTGCAGTCTCATTTCAGACTACACCACCTGTCTACATTAAACAACAAAAGTGGGCCAGATCTCTCAGAGCTCTCTCACACACACACACACACACACACAAACACAGCCCACACCTGCAGCTATTTCAGACAACTGCCATTCACAGGAACACACAGCACACGCTCCCTGTGTGAAGAAAACCTGCACAGTTTCTCCCCATTAGAAAAACCCCAGCAGCTTTCATCGCCACTTCTGACGTGCGGTTACGAACTGCGTTTGAGAGACTCGTCAATGAGCAAATGATAATGTGTGCATGATTACATACAGTTCATTTCTGTCTAATTGCCTGGCAAATTATACTGCATAGCATACTGTGTAATACTTCATTTAAGAATGTGCAACATGCAGCAAACAACATATATGCAGATCCCAAGCCAGATATACAAGATTAAAGGCAAAATACAAGTTATGCAAAAGACGTTTATTTTGTTTTTGTTGAAGAACAGTAAAACTTTTACTCACTTTCATTAAGGTGAATATAATGTCACTATGTTTCAGTTACTTTTACAATACTTTATAGTATTTATTGAAATAGAAGAAATAAATAAAATGTATATATGGCTGTAGTTATTTGTATATTTGCATAACAGCATTTTATGCAAATTACCCAACATATTATAATTTTAATTAAGTGTTTTTGGAAAGATGTAACCATTTTAAATTGTTAATGTATGCAAAACAAATTCATGATTGTTAATAGGAAACTGTCAATTTGATTTTCCACATAAAAATAAACTACATCACCCCATAAAATGAAAGGCTATTTATATATTTATTTATAAAATACTAACATTTTTATATTATATTTAAATTACAGATATTTTTAACAGATGTATTCACCAACTGTTAAAATATGCAAAAGCTCTTCATATTTTCAAATTTATTCGATTTGTTTCGATACTGTTTTTAAAAAGTAAATAAAGCAATTTTACAAATACAATTGTAATTTTAATTATATAAATAGTATGATAGAATTATCTATACATTCAACTGAAATGATGAAAATAATATATGCAAAATAGCTTGTGAATATTCATAAAATATTTGGTCACAAAAAAATTCTAATAAATATAAAAATATTTGCAATTATTTGTATCATTATTTTATTCAAATCAGAAACAAAGAATGAATGAATGAAATGTTTATATGGCTGTAGTTATTTGTATATTTACATTATTTACATAATTGCATTAATAAAATTACCCAACATTTTACAATTTTGATCAAGTGTTTTGGAAAGATGTGATATAAATTGTTAATGTATGCAAAACAAATTGATAATTGTTAATAATATTTGTACATTTATATTATTTATAAAAATACTAATATTATTTAAAATTACAGAGATTTTTAGACAGATGTATTCACAAACTCTTAATATAGGCAGAAAGTTTTACGAATATTTAATCAGAAACTACTTTCCATACTGTATTTAAAAAGTAAATAAAGCAATTTTACCAATGGAACCGTAATATTAAAATGTATAGAAAGTATAATAGCAATTATTTATATATTTAATTGCATTTATACAAAAGTATTTTTGTCATTTGAAATGTTGTTAATATGTAAAAAAAACAGCTTGTGAACATTAAATATTTGCAATTATCATTATATATTTAACTTTATTTAAATCCGAAACAAAGAATGAATAAATTAAATGTTTATATGCCTGTAGTTGTTTGTATATTTAAATTATTTACATAACTGCATTAATAAAATTACCCAAAATTTTACAAGTTTAATCAGGTTTTAATGGAAAGATGTAACCATAATGTATACAACACGTATTCATGATTGTTAATATGAAACTGTCAATTTGATTTTCAACATTAAAATAAAGAAAACTAATAACAACACATACAATGTAAAGTTCCAATGTTTGTATTTATATTAATAATAAAATACTAAAAATGTTTTAAATTACAGATATGGACAGATATATTAACAAAATGTTAATATATGCAGAACGTCTTCACGAAGATTTAATCAGAAACTAGTTTCGGTACTTTTAATGTTTACATTTCTGTTTTTAAAAAGTAAATAAAGCAATTTTACCAATACAATTATAATATTAAAACGTAAAAAAGGATTATAGCATTTATTTATCTATTTAATTGCAATAATAAAAAAGTGTTTTTTGACATTTGAAAAAGCTGTTAATTTATGCAAAATAGCTTTTGAATATTCAAAAATATGTTGTGTCACGAAAGATTTTCATTTGTAATTACGCTTTTAGAAATGCCAAAACTGCAAATTAAGCAATGTAGCTTTTTAAATAATGTAGAAATAATCAGACCTATAAAATAACACTCTATTAAAACATTTAACATTATTTAAACTTCTGCAAATAACTATAAATACACACAGATTTACACCTACCCGACAACACAGCCTCCAACAACATGAGATCAAATCCATTTTTAGTCCACAATCTACCCCGATAAGATGTTAAAAGTCCATCCAGTATTCTAGATCGCTACTGAAACTGACTCTAGTCATCGGCCCACTCCACAAACCACCATAAAGTTTACATGCTCAACTACAAACACGCGCAAATATTACTGCAGTCTGGGTGAGCTTCAAAAGTGCATGCGTCTTTCCACCAGCAAATCTAATTTGGAGGGAAATAGAGTTCTCTTTGTGCACTCATGTGGGGCCGAGAGTCCATGCGGAGGGAGGAGAGACAGAGAGATCAGTGTGACTGCTGAGAGATACAGGCCAGGGGAACAACCAGCTGTTGCCCTCAATAAAACAAACTCAAGAGGATTGTCAGCACAATCACACCTCCTGCTCACAGTATAGACGGAGTGTGTGTTTTGAACAGGTCATATTGCGTGTGTGTTTTTTCAGCTTCCTTTAATGTTGAGCAGGAAAGTGACAAAGCACAAAGTCACTGCAAAGAGAAAACGAATGTCTGCTGTAGAAATGAAGAGAACATTAGGGGGAAAAATCTCTGGATTTATGATTTATAACGTTTAACTAAAACTACCGAGGACATTTTCATTTCAAGCTTTCCAGTGATGAGAACATTTAAAAGAATCATTTAGTTTTTAATGTCAATAACTGGGCTGCAAGATATCTGCGATATATATTGCGATATGAATACAATTTCACCTCCCTATTTAGAAAGAATTTAGCATTTTACGTTGATTGCACTGTAGAAAATGGCCGTGATTTCAACGGTAAAAAACTGTAAAAATGCTACAGTACAAATCTGTAACCTGGTTAACGGTATGTTTCCTTAATATATACGGCTAATAACCGTAAATTTACTTTCCCAGAATTCCCTGCATGGCACAAAACTTTTTATGCATTTTGTTAACATCAATATTGATCTTTTTATTTGTTTCCCCATCAGTTATGGACATTAGAGATTTATGTTACATCTAATGTTGATAAACAATGTTTATTTCTTGACTTTAATTTTATGCGTGTTACCACACTGGTGTTTAGTAGCTGTGTGAATGACACTGAGCACCTTCTATATGCTGATACTCTTTTCTGCTTGTGGGAAAAGTTGAGCATTGGATCATTATGTAACTTCCTCATCACCTCCTGCATGTGGGTGTGCTAAAGTGTCTAACTGTGTAACAAAAGATGTGTAGATGTTGGTCATTCAAAATACAGACATATTACATCTATAAATTAATAAAATACGGTAGTTTAACGTAAAAAAACACGGTTTGTACCGTGTTTTTAACGGTAAAGTACTGGTAACCACAGCTGCTGGTTTTACCGTAAATTTTACTGATTTATTTTTTACAGTGTGGGGTGATTTTGATCTTTTTCCCTTTGTGTGGTGCAAATTATTTTGGGGACCCCCAAAAAATAAAAACAACGCAGAAAACCCTCAAATTAACAACTTTACTTAAAACATTTTAAATTGTACTAATCATGCTCTAGATTAGTTTTTGTGGGATGTCAGTTGCGTTGACGTGATTTCAGTGCTTCAATCAATTGATCAAATCTTCAAGCGCAGTGTTCACTGTGGTCTGCTCTCACTGGATTCCATCAAGCCATATTTTGTGTACGAGTCATCACGTTTACACAGTTTTTTTATGCCATTTTTTATGTCTATGCACAGCTAGGCTTTTCTGTATTTACCCTTACAGCTGAAAGTCTAAATTTCTCAAAGATTTTTGACATTACTACAGTGGAGGCTGTAGTGGTTCAGTGTGTTGAAGTTTTGTTTATTTTTATTCCTTTTTTGTGCACATCATAATTTACTCAGGCGACGCAGAAAGAGATTTACAGATCATGTATACGCTTTGTATATTTATGGGGAGCTACAAATCCTTTAAAATATTTCCTTTAAAGAAGAAAAGATACTTATTTAGATTGATAACATTACATTAAAGTTACAAGTCAAGACAAATTTGGTCATATTGGTGAAATTTACTCAATCCATTTACTCCAAATTAGAAAAAAAGTATTCAGTCTGTGTTCCTAATGAAAAATATAGTTTTCCATGACGTATAACAGTGTGAACTGTGTCAATCCACTCTTCAACTGTAGGTGACTCTAACTTTAACCATTTTGTAATTACTTTGGTAACACTTTACAATAAGGTTCATTAGTTAATGCATTTACTAACATGAAGTAATCATGAATAACACATGTACAGCATTTATTAATCATAATTGAACATTAACTAATGCATTATTAACATCCGAATCCATGCTTGTTAACATTAGTTAATGCACCATGAGTTAACATGAACTAACAATGAACTACTGTATTTTCATTAACTAACGTTTATTAACATGAACAAATACAGTAGTAAATGTATTGTTCATTGTTTGTTCATGTTAGTAGATGCATTAATTAACATTAACTAATGAACCTTATTGTAAAGTGTGATAATTACTTTTTTACTAGCTGCCAGCAGAATAAATAACAGTTTATTGTCTTTATTAATCCATCCATCTAAATTTATATTACCTAAATAAAAAGATTCAGAAGTGAAGGCAATCATGGCGTCTAAATGTATTTAATCTCTTTCCAGTATGGGGTTAATTTCTGACAATCCCACAAAGCAAGACTGATTAGCTACTTTTCCCCCCAACATTCTCCAGCAGATAGTACCCTTTCCTCTATGTATTTTCTGTGATGGGGTGATAATGAAAAACCTTTCTTCCAACCGAATTTTCTCCACATGGCTGAGCTGGTACATTTTCGTTGAGTTTTACAATAATTCCCCCAATCCTCATTTGATATATTCAGATTTCCTTTCATTTTCTATTTATCTCTAACATACAGTGTATTGTCCGGTCCAGATTCGTGAAATCCCTTATATAATTTTAAAATGATCTTATGACATGATTGGGCCTTGCCCACGGATAAAAACACTTTTAGTATTTCTTTATCTGCAACTTGCAATATTTCTGGTTAAATATTACAGTCAATATAATGTCTTACTTTAAGGTATCTATAAAAGTCACTTTGATTAAACCCATATTTTTCCTTTAGAAACTCAAAAGTTTGAATTGTACCCTTGTCAAAAAGTGTAGTAGTTGGAAATTCCTAAATTGCTCCATATTCGAAATCTATCATCTCTTTGGTTGAGGATAAAATCAGTTTTGAAGGCACACCTTTTTAATATTCTTGATGTATCTTGCAAACCACATATTTTCTTTGTTTGATGCCAGATTTTAAATAGTAGATTAATCCAAGGGTTTGCTTCTTTATAGATTTTAATTCTCAGTCTACAGTGTTTTCTCTAGGATTTTTTCCAGCTGTGGCGGCAGGCCTTTTTTTTTACACAGACCTACCAACTACCTATGGCGTTATTTCAATGACAAATGTCATGAGCGCAGTACTACAAATCTCGTATTTATGTAATAGCCTACCGACAGCATGCGAATCTCTTTGCTTGCGCACCAATTTCCTCTGCTTAACCTTAAAGGGTTAAACAAATATCGCACAGCACTACTACGGTTACAGAAAAGTTATAATTCACTTACCTTTTAAAATGTTTTGGTGCAATTATCAAAAAAAAAAAAAAAAAAACATGACAATGTTTTAAATGAAAAGCTGTAATGTAGCTGTGGCGGGATCAATTTTGATGTGGCGCCCCGCCATGGAAGATTGAATGTAGTGGAAACCATGGGTTACTATCTGCAATCATTTTAATTATTTCAAGAAAAAATAGTGAGATAGTTTTATGGCTTAGTTCTGTTTATGGTCTCCTTTCATAGTTTAATTAAGGACAATTAACCCTGATCGCAATAGCTAAATAATCTAATTAATAATAACAACAATATTCACTGCATTTATGATGCCGTGACTGTGAGTAGTCAACACATCCACCTGCACTGACAGTCTCAGCTTCCTTCCCATGACCTCTGACCATTTATACACTGACAGAAAACAGGGACAAGCCATAAAAAACTGAATGAGCAAGTCCAGAAGAAAGATGAATACTTGATGTACACACATATATAGAAAGGGGAAGTGGAGGGCATGAGAGAGAAAGCAGATGCAGATAAAAATCCACTCATTTAAAGAAAACCAAGCCAGAATAAGAAGGAAAGCCTTTGATTGTGGATTTGTTGGTATGAACAGGAAGTCTTTCCAAAGGAAACAGGAAGTCTGGCAGCAGAGCCTCCTGAAAACTGGCATGAAACGGCTGAGAGATGTGTGGCTTTTTACCCCATTACAGCTGAATTTCTATCAGCAAAGACTTTCACCCTCCCGTTGCATGTTTCCTATAGCAGGAAAAGCTGGAGCTATTCTTAAAGAGGGATTTCTCTTTCTTCACTCATTCCCTTCCCGTCTCCACCATCTTCCTGCATATCACCATATCTCCTCCTCCGGGGATTCTGATCTGTACAGAGTTTATTAAAACTGTGAAAAAACAAGATTCAAAAAGCATAAACCAGGCCGTGTTTATATTCCAAAAGAGTTGGATATGTTCTAACAAACAAGAAAGTGATCCGCAGTGATCCAAGGTCAAAAACCAAGCCCAAACAGGATCATAAAAAATGCATCAAAAGAACTGACCGGGAACGTCAAGTCTTGGTATTCTGTCAATCACACCGGTGAGACTTTCAATGGAGCTCAGGCACTTCAGGTTATTGACTGGAGCTACAGAAATAAACGTGCTGCATACGGATGGGAATCTAAAGGAACGTAGTGATTTTGGCTCCTTACTAAATTCCACTGAAGTTTCTTGGAACTTTTGATCAGCAATAATACGAATACCACTGCCAATTCCATTAATAAAATATAAACCATCAATGCAGCTTAAAGCTCCCATGAAATTTAAATAACATTTTTAAGATTTTAGTATGCTAAAGGATAACTATAAGCTAGTCTGCTTCAAAAAAAAGTCACAAAATTCGCATGTAGAAGATAAAAATATCCAAAGCTTGCTGTTTGTCATCAACATTTTTAACGTCACCTCATACATCAGTTTCTCATCAAATCTTCTGACCAATCAAAAGCCCTCTAGTATCAGACATGCCCCGCCTCCTTCTTCTCATTTGCTTTTCATTTGATGAGCTTGAGCTCAACCACTCCAAAAACTCCAGAATACACAAGGCATGTCATTTGTATAGTTTTGAAACTCCGCCTACTAGTACAGGAGCCAATCATCAAC